CACGCTGGCTGGGGAATTCTGGAAGTCCACACATCTTAAGGTTGCCAAGGCTGAAAAACATTGGTCTAAAGAACCCTCAGTAATGTATATTTAACTGAGTAGAACAGCAAATGTAATGAGGTTTTTTCCATCTATTGTTTCTCAGAGCTTTTACTCTAGGAAGCCACAAGGTTTAAATGGTGCTTTGAATGATGTGGGTATCACTTTTGAAGGACGGGAGCACTCTGGTGAGTGAAGTATTTATATATATATATATATATGTGAGAGACCTCTGAAAAACAGGGAGGGAGGTCTTGTATTTATGCAGAAAAGGACTTGCGAGCATGGAAGTGAGTTAAAATTAACCAATACAATCCATTCTGACCATCTTTCTATATGACATATCTAAAAATAATCAAGAACTAGACCTGAGATCATCTTCTTGCCTCAGTTCCTGCTCTGTAATTGAGTTTCCATTCTTTGTAGAAAATAAGTAGGAGGCGAAGAGGGAACTGCTCTGGAAACTGCTATAGGTATTATTAGTCTAACTTAGGATGCCAGTGTGAGCAGTAAGAACAAATAATTTGATTAGTCCTTTCACGTTTAATCTACTAACAATGATACCTCCTGTTTTCCCAAGGACTGGATGATTCTCGGAATACAGCTCGCCTTGCTTGGAAGATGATTCGTGATGGGTGTGTAATGAAAATCACTAAATCGTTAGATAAGGTTAGTGGTTTCTCTTCTTGACACATGTTACCGATGAACATTGACCCAATAAGACTTTGTGGACAGAGCTTTGACTTGGGATCTTGTCTGAAACTACGCAGGCCATTTTGGGGTTGACATCCTTTGTTTATGGAATCTTTAGGCACCTCCTGTAAAGAATTCCATTGCCAGATTTTGGGATGAGAAACCTACCAATGGTTCCCCTTTGGAAATCAACCATCTTGTCAAAGCATCGCGTGAAAATGAAGTTGCTACAGAAATCAAAAAGGAAGAGGAAGATCCACAGCAAGAGATGGTTGACGTAGGCTTGCATGAGGACACTCCTCTTGCGTCTAGAAATAACAAAAAGACCAATGAACATTGCAGCAACAAACAGAACCTAACCTCATCCATAGGAAGACTCCATTGGCCTCTTGGCTATTTTCAGCATCCCTGCAATAAACCTTCAGGCCTTCAGAGTTGGGGAGACAACGGGCATCTAATTTCAAACCCGTCAATGCATAATCAAAAGCTAGTTTTGGTCCCCACAACTCTTTCCACCATCAATATTTCTGTGACAGACATCAGTACCACTGCAGACTGTCTATCTTTGTTGGCTGACTGGGAGGACGTAGCAATAATACCAGAAAGGGAGGATGACCCAAATTCAGAATCCTTGCCATCACAGGATAATCCCCCACCTAAGAGCTCGTTAGTGACTGAAGAGAGAGAGGATAGGAACAAATCGAATGGGATGAATTGGGGAGCTGAAAATGTAGTAGACACTTCTCTGAGCACGGAGCTCTCAAAATCCGTTGTATATAAGAGTCCAAGTAAGACTATTTATAATGCAGGCAGAGCTCCAAATGAATTTTCAGATGCTTCTACTTTTAAGCTCCCTGTTGTAATGTCAGATGCTTCTTTCACTGACCCATCAAATAGAAATCCTCTTGCGTGTTCAACTGAAGCCATCAAAAGGAAGCCCTCCAGCCCCAAATCTTTTCCTCCAACCAAAAAGCCACCTTTCAGAATACATGAGGATGGAAGCTCAATGTTGGGCAGTTTCCTGCTGCCCAAGGTGAATCCGTGCGGCGTCTCACCTGCTCCTTTGAGTTCTTCCAGCAATTTCAACCAATCTTTAAGGGCAGCAGAAACCGGGAGAATGACCCCTCCACTGTGCCAATGTGGTCGAAGAGCTAGAAAGCTAAATGTTTCAAATGGTGGCCCTAATCAGGGCAAAGCATTTTATAGCTGTCCAGTTAGGAAACGTGAAGGGAACAGAAAGGGCTGCAGCTATTTTCGATGGGAACATTCGCTTTTAAAGGAGAAAGTTGCTCTTCCTACTTCGGCTTCAGGGGCTGTTGGCTTAAAGCCTTTGAGAACACGGTGCGCCTCCCTGGGCAACGTTAAGCCAAAGTGCCTGGGTCTCCGGCCCTCCATGAGAACGTAGGCCAATACTTCTGCTCTTTACTGGGGAAATGGTTTACTGCACCTTCACAAGTTGAGTTAGCTTTGT